TATATATAATCGATACACTATGAGGGGTCAAGAGTATCTGCCACAGTTTTAATTCAACGTAAATCAGAATAAAAGCCGTCACCCATCGGAGCGATGGAGAGCAGGTGGTCGTTCAGCTCTCCTCTCTCTGTGGCGAGCTGCAGCGCCCCCTCCAGGTCTCCGCTCCACAGTCGCAGGTACACTACAGAGTCGAAGTGACCCGCCTCCACGTGACCCTCCTCTGAGGAGCAACACACACACACACTCAGGTTTTCATTACGTGTGAACTAACTTAATTAAACTAAAGAACATAAAAACAATTTGTGTTTAACAAATGCAATCACAGAAAAGAGCTGTTCTGTTAATCTGATATTAAGAAACACACACAAACCTTCTGACTGGAACATGCGGTGCAGAGCCGGTCTGTCAGAGAAGAGGCCGAGATGGATGTGCTCTCCCTGTCCTGGGACACAGCCTGCAGGGGGCGCTGGAAAACAAACACACGCACGTTAGTACCCTGACATTAAACTAAAGCTGAAACAACCCCTGAGAGAGTCTTCGAAGGTGTCTTCACTAAAACCATCATCTGACTCGTCTCTGTCACAATCAGTCCTCCTCTATAATATCATCAGTGTCTCACCCTGGTCATGTTGGACAGAAGCCAGAGTGATGCAGTCCTGCAGCAGCTCCTCTTTGGGACGGTGGTCCATGGATGTGCTGATGGGAAGCATGGAGCGAGGCTTCTTCTTCTTCAGCAGGTTTGTGTCTGGAAACACACAAACAAACGCAGAGTCACAGAGAAACACAGGCACCAGTTTAAAATCCATCGAGTGAAGCTGTTTTGTCAAATTGAATCCACACCTGGTTTTTCTTTGGTCTTCGGCACAGCAGAGGGTTTTCTTTGCATCTCAAAAGAAGCTGAAACAAACATTTTGTCACTTTCCAACAATCTCACTGTTTTTCAAATCTGTCTGAAGCGTTCCTCCTCCTCTGTTACCTGCTGGAGGTACAGGACTGCTCCGTGAGCTGCCTTCATCTTCCTCATCTTCACCGGACTGCTCCGCTCCCGTCACAGCCTTCTCTCCTTCTGCCACCGGGCCCCCGTTCATCTCTCCGGCCCCTGATGTCTTCTTGTTCTTCCTCTTCTGCTTGGGATTGGCCTTCATCTTTTCCTTCAGCTTCGACATCTTTTTCCCTGAGAGGAAAAACATGTGAACGTTAAAGTCGGGATCGATATCGATCTCCAGCCGGGACGGTGCCGCAAAGACGCATGTTCACCTTTAGGTGGCTTTGTAAACGTTTGTTTGGAGACTCTCCACTCCTGCGCCGTGAAGTCCTTCCCTCCGGTCCAGATCAAATCGGGGTCGACGGGCGACCAGTCCACAGACAGCAGGTAACCATTGTGACCCCGGTAGTTAGAGAGCGCCTCCTCCTGCAGGACATCCCACACCTGGACAGACCAAAAAAAAAACAAACTTAAAACTCATCCAGACCATTATTACTTTTTTATACCCATGATGCTCTCCTGGTACTGACTTGGGCTGTGCCGTCATAGGAGGCGGTGACCAGCCGCGCCTCGTGGTGTGGACTCCAGGCCATGTCGGTGACTTTATCCGTGTGACCACACAGCCTGCGATACGGCTCCGTCACAACCACAGGGCTCTCTGGAGGATTCTCTGCACAAAAACAAAAAAAGGAAATCGACATATTTCAAAAGAAACTCATTCATCCACCAGTTATCACAATAAGTCATTGACAGGATGTAATTTATAGTTTTGGGTGAATTAGTTTTCACCTAATCTGCTTTTGACTTCCTGTCTTACATTGGTGGTGGAGTTTTATTGTGAAGGAAATTGCTGCAAGATCTGAAAGTTCTTATTTGATTATGACAAACGATGTCATCTGTAATTTCGGTTTTGACAAACTGGGATCTGGACACAAATCATACAAATGATGAACCTCGTGGCTGTTCTTTGAGAAAAATAACTTTTATATACGATTATGATTTTGCTTCTAAAAAAAGAAGTTTGGTAGTTTTAGCTTGTTGCTTGTTTGAGAGTGAAGAACATTAAGGTATTTAAAAGTAAATGGAGCTGTCAGGTTGTACTTGTTCTCTGGTCTGTACAACTACAAAAAACTTCCAGAAACACAATGTGTGGTTGAAGGTATTTGGAAGGAGACAGTTCACATCTGTAAGAAATGTCGAAGGTTTAACTCTGTATCACTGTGATGTCTCTACCTACCGATGATAGAGCGGAGATCGTGCACGTAGACGATGGCGTTGCTGGAGCCCGAGGCCAGGAGGCAGTGCAGCTCGGGTGGAGAGCTGTGGTCGTGGTGCCACTGCAGCGTGTTGATGATCTTGTGATGCTGCTGGATGCTGCACAGCAGCTTCAGACTGGGAGCCTCATAAACATCGATGCACCTGCAGCAGAGAATCACACAGAACTTTAGTTAAAGTTTCCAAGAAACCTGGAAGCAAAGATGCAGCTAAAGAGATTGGTTGGTATTTTAGAACATTTCAAAATGGAGAACAGCTTCACAAACTTAATATATTTTACAGAAACTGTTCGGATTCAACGAGCTGATGAGTTTTCTCCTCCCTAACAAGGATTGTTGAAATTCAAACAAATGACTAAACAAACTATTTGTCTTTTTTCGGAGACACACTCAGTAAAACTTTCAGCTCACACACAAACAAATCCATTCCTCTGTAGCCTAAAGACTCAGATCTGTCAGTGGACAGCTGGTTCCTCCCTTGACTCCGCAGGCCGACGCTCTATTATAGGAAAGGTCAGGCCCGACCGTTCACTCACCCGTCCTCGTTGCCGATGGCAACCACTTTCCCATCTGGCTTCCAGCTGAGGTCGGTGTGCGGAGACAGCTTGTGCTGTTGGGATGCAGAGATCACCTTTACAACTTATCGCAAACATTTACATTCAGCAGCAAGCGTCAGAGAGATGAGCCGTGACGACTGTGAACTTCTCAGAGTTTGTTCTTCACCTTGACGAGTGTTTGTCAGGTTTTATTGTGGCTGAACAAAGTGGTTTCTAAACTCTGAGCATGGATGTGAAAGATTGGTCGAAGAAGAATAACGACTGATTTAATGTTTGTTGAGATAATATAACTAAATAACTTATGTCCTCTAATTTATTCTCCCTTGATGACGCCTCCAGAAAACAATATAATAATAAAGCACAAACCTAAACTGAACAGGCTGATTTAAATCATTGTCACAGCGACAGTGCCCCCACCTTGATGTTATTGGTGTTTCTGATCAGCTTATCTATGTCGGACGCCTCTCCGCCCAGCTTCAACGGGTCGTGCTGCAGGATGATACCTTCGCCGGCGCAGCTGTAAAGGCTGTAGGTCGACTTTCCTCTGTCTGCACCTGAACATCCCACAAAGAAAGAATCATAGATCATTTCAGGATAATGCGTCACATGCTTGAAATTGTGAATAAAGACAATCATCTCTTGTTTGATGCCTCATCCACACGTTTCTTGATTTATTTTTTGTGTTGAGCAGCGATGCCACGTCCCCATATCTCTAGAAAACTATGAAGAGTCTCTTTAAATTGATTAATGGCAACTTCAACCTGAAAACATTGATGTGAGCCTTTTAACAATGTGAACCCTGCAGGATGTTTTTATCCCGGTGTTCTGAATATACAACAAACTGCATGTGCGTGAGAAAAGGATTCATTACCATCTTACAAGACAGAAATAATGTTTGTAGCACGCTGGGTGACAAAGGGTCCTCGAGTTAGCTGCCTGACTGCATTTCTTTTTAATTGAAAACTAGAGGTCTTAAGTGTCAGTTTGCAGAGGATTTAAATACAAGAACAAAAAGGAAGAGTCGACAGTCTCCAGAAATCCAGAGACGAGAGAAGCAGCTGGTCCTAATTTCCTCTGCACACCTATTCCGAGTCATTCAAACGTCCTCAACCAACGAGAAACGAGCTGAACCGGTGCCAGCGCTGTCGGTAAACAAATTAGCGGCTCCTTTTGTTCGTTCAGGAGCCGTCGGCAGATTGCTTGCACGGCAACAATCAACGTTTACAGCTTCGAGGGCGTGTGACTGATACGCTAATCAAGATGTCATCTGCCGACAGCTGGCGAAATCAGCTCTCCGTGTCTCCGCTCCCACACGAGTGGCTGAAGTGTGAGGAGGTGAGGAGCGAGTGTTTTCTCAGATGATTCAATTACAGAGTTGATTACAAAAGGCCGTGCTGAGATGTTTGGGATGGGGTTTTTTTTCCGCTGACTCGCTGCTTTGTGGCATCGCACAGCACCGGTGTTTTTGCTGGGTCAGGGCGTTCCGAGCAAACAGCAGCAGTTGCGAAGAGTTCATTAGGAACTTACCAAATGACATTGGGGGAACTGGGGGTCCCCAAGCCAATGTGTAGACTGTTTTTCGGTGATAGGAGCTCGATATCTGCGGAGGCCTGAGAGGAGATGAAGCAGAACAAATGACCAGTCAGGAACAGAGGACGTGGACAGCTGCAGGAAAATGGAAGTGGACGACCTCAAGGGATCATGGGAAGGATCAGTGAGACCTCCACAGCTTAACTTTACGACTTCCACGGAAAGTTTCCAAACTTGAAGTCCTGAACTGAAATCTCAACATTCATCTATTTTAGAAGTTGTACGTTATTTTAACCGTTGATGTTAAAATCAGCAGGTAAAATCAATCTGATCTTAACGAGTAGATAATAGAGGTGTTATCACTGACCAGCTTTTAATGAGAAACATTTACCCGTTTTCCACCAAATGAGCTCTGAGTGAACTTGACCGGTTCCATTCAGGATTCTCTGAAACCTTGAACCTGGAGAAGCTTTTATTCCCCCGACTATTTCTCACACGCCCTCTTCATCCTCTCTCTCCAACTGGTAGAATATGACTCAGCAGTTCATCACAAGAACACTTGCTGTTTTTTTGGATATCGCTGGGAGCTGGGACTGAATTATTGAATCTTACTTGTTTGAGTAGACTTCGTAGATTCCAACTTTACCATCATCGGTTCCAAACGACAAAGAGCCTTCTTTCTTCGGGTGCCACGCCAGCTGCAGTGGAAGAGACGTTTCTCAGTGCATCTTATTAAACTGCTTCTTGTGTGAGAGTTAGTCATTCATGATAGAGGATTGAATATGATAATCAAACATTTTATCAGCAGCTCAGATGAAGAATTTATTAAACAAGCTGAGATTTAAATCAAAGAAATGTCACGGTGATCTTTCTCTTGCTGTTTCGATGTTTCCTCCCTTTAAAACATTTCAGAAAACCTCCAGACACTAATATAGAGGAGACGTTAATACAACTCAGTTCTAGATCTACAGTGGGTCATAGACTACAGATTGTGTTTGTAAAGATCTTTTCTATGTGTTCTCTCTCTCTGTGTGAAACTTACCGCTGTAACCTTGGACTTGATGCCCTGCCAGAACGCCCTGGTGTCGTACTGGTTCTGTGTCGTCAGCGTGTTCCACACCCGGATCATGCTGTCACCGACACCCAGCGCCAAACACCCTGTACCCACAGGGGAGAAGGTGAGGGTGTAGACGAACCCGCCCAGGGTGGGAAGAGTCCAGCAGCAGTCCAGAGAGTCCAGGTCCCAGCATTTAATCTGCAGAATAAAGAATTTCCGTGACCAATAGTCTCTCTCGGTAATATACGAACAATAAACAAATAGAATGAGGGAACATTTCCAATGTGTCAGTCCAGAGGTTGTGACTCACATCTCTGTCCATGGACGTGCTGATGAGCAGCTGTCTGTTGTCCTGCAGGTGAACTGAACTCATGTTGAAGACGATCCTGCTGTGGTTCTGACCCTCGGACGACGTCCCCAACAGTGTCCACCTCTGCTTCCCTGACCTGGTCAAGTCCCACAGCACCAGCTCACCACTGAGGACACAAAGTATTTTTTAATGACAGCATCTGAAGATAAATAATATCAGGTCTCTGTCAGGGGTTTATGTTCAGATAATATCCTGCAGAAATAAAGAAGTTACATTTATTGTCTTTGCTTCTCATCAGGAATAATCTCCAATGGATCCTGTTTACGCACCTGAAGCAGCTGGACACCAGTTGTGTCGGTCGTCCCTTCGGCCAGTGGACATTTAACCAGAGTCTCTCTTTGACCCCGGGGTCGACTGCTGAGCCTCTTTTCTTCAGATACGGCAGCTTCAGAGTCATCACACCTGCCAGTGGAGGACGGTGAGAGGATTAACAGAAAAGATCATCAGGTTACATCTTTCTTGAGAGTTTGAGGACATCTTTTAAACTATTTATTCAAACTATCACTCTCACCTTTGCTCTTCAGTGTGCTCCAGATCCTCAAAGTCTGGTCTTTGCTCCCAGAGGCAAGATAGCAGCCTTTCTCCTCCCCCGCAGACTCGCCATTTGTTGCTGTCGGATAAAAAAAAGTCAACACATCACATAAACCAGCTGTATTTTTTTCCCCCACATCGACTCATTAGTGCAAAAATACCACACAGAGGAGGAAGAAACCCCAAACCTTCGCTGTCCTCGGGTCTGCTATAGAGGGCGTCCTCCCCATGAAGCGGAGACCAGGCCAGTGAGTGGATCTCATCATCGTGTCCCCGCAGACGCTGCATCACAATGCCTTTCTTACTCACATCAATCAGAACTATCATCCCGTCCTTGTACCTTAAACACAATAATGCAGTGTTACGATAATTACCCGAGTCTTTAATTTAGCTGATAAATGTTGAATTTGACTGGAGATGCTCTGGAGATGGAGTGACGAGTCAAACAGCGAGAAACAGGATTTCTGCATCAAAGAACTTGAGCGATTTATCAATTAGCCGATGAAAATCAGCTGATATGAGCCTTTCTAACAGACCCAGCTTTTTACGGTGGCGTCCTCTGTAGTCGTCTTACCCGACAGCCACGATGTTCCAGGTGTGAGGGGAGCAGCTGAGGCAGAAGATGGTCCTGGGCTCAGGAAAGAAGCTGGAAGTGTCTCCTGTGTGGAACCAGTAACAGATGACCACGCCCTTCTCGTCCCCCGACACCACCAGGTTCTTATCCACCGGGGACCAGTGCACCGCTGAGACAGGGCTCTGTGTGCGGAGACAAAACACTGCTGAGTGACGCTGTGTTGAGCCTGGGTTCAACAGAAGGTTTTTAACTTTACAGGGAACTAATTAGGAGGAAAGATTTTAATTAAGTTCTGGGATTAAAGCTGTAAGATTTTGTTATATCCTAAATAAAAATGATCTCAGTCTAAAATATCAGTATTAACTTTACTTTAACTATAAGAGGACATGATAAACCGGGACGGAGGGAAAAGAAAATATCTCCTGCAGGAATAATTCAAAGCTAATAACTGAAAGTAAACAAGCGATGTCCCGTCTAACTTTAACGACTGTTTTAAAAATGTCCTTGAGACAGTCGCAGTCAGAGAAGTGGGCTGGACGCCAGCTACAGAAATCTGTTGTGCTGTTTGCTCCCCTGCAGAATAAAAATCGTCCTCGACATCCTGTTGAACTCGAAGCGTTTCTCCTTTTCTCCGGATTGGGTCGGTGGTGAAACATCTCCGTGACGACACAGACAAGCGGAACCACAGTGTGTCTGAACAGAGTGTTTAGCGGACTGCAGCCTCCAGGGGGCACCGGCACGTTTCGCTGGCGGTGGGACACATCTTTACAGACAGTCTCTGGGTGACACCCACCTGATGAGCTGCGTGCTCCCTCAAAAGACTCTTGCTGTTGGAGTCCCAGTAACAGATCTTCCCGTCATTGGAGGAGCTGACGCAGAGGTGACTCTGTCCTGCGTGCTGACAGAATGAAAAGCCCGACACCAGGTCCCTGTGGCCGACGAGTTCCCCTGAGGACACACAAGACGTTCAGATTTTAGATGTGTGATAGTACAAAGAGAAGAAAAGCTCCATCTGAACCTGAGGGCAATACTACATGTATTGTGAAGTACTGTGTAGTAGTATTGTGTAGTAGTATTGTGTAGTAGTGTTGTGTACTCACCCTCCACTCTACA